CAATTTGGTCTGGGCCCGAGGTGGGCTTAATAGCCGGCGACTACTGTAGTTCGTAAGAGCATTTACCATAAACTTTGATCTTTGAATATTAATTCTTATGAAGATGGCTATGTGGCCATATTTCTGCATTACGCAAAACACCAAAACTCATTGTCGAGCAAAAAGCACATCCACAACAGGAGTATGATATCATTATGCGTAGGATATGTTTAAAAACTTCCCATAATACGTTACCTCTTAAAAAAAACACTTTGATTAGATATTAACCGATGAATGTCTGTGTATGTTACTCTTTTCCAAAGTAACATCAAAGTGAAAATGGAGCATTTTGACCAGTTTTTTTAAATTTACCTGAAAATAAAGGATACACTCTTGGATGAAAAGAAAGGTTCTCGCTTTCTCTTTATATGGGAGCATTTTCACTTTCAGGCCCCGTTCTAAGATTGCAAATGCAAAAAAAGACTGGCCGAATATACATGAAATTTTTGTAAAGGTTGGCCACCTTTTGTCTATTTCGTTTCTAAAGTACGCACTACTGGAAATTATATTGTTCAAAGCAGTATCCCGCCACATGATTTAGGTTTAACGTCATTGTTTTTTTATTTTCATGTAAGTGGTAACATATATGCAGTAAAACAAATACGGTCAAAACGTTTTTACACCGTTTTATGACAGAACAGGACTCTAGCCCTTGGCAAAACATAATTTTTGCAACTAAAATTGTTCTTTGGTTCTGTTTGGCTGTGTCCTACTAAATAGCATAGGAAATTTGTTCGATATCAGACAGCCTCCGCTTTCGCCGAAATTCTGCCTTTTACCCGTAAATGTATAGTGACTTTAACTGGCAGTTTTTCTTGATAAGAGGGTTTTCTGCTAATCAAACTAACGTGACTGAATGTATGCTGAATTACCAATTCCAATTTCGATCATGCTTTTGCCTGCATTATCTCACCTTCCTGAATTTCAACTCTGTTTAGAAAAGCAGCTGCTCCTGAATGCAGGTCTGGATAACCGAAGGAGCGGTATCCCTCTGCCGCTGGGTGGGGAGGAGGCTGTAGATGAAAACAGGCGGACTGCCAGCAAGATCCCTCGCAGGTCGACCATCACCACCGCAAACACCAACCGATGGGAGACTTCTCTACGGCTGTTTATTGAGGTGCGCTGACGTTCATTTGTGTGCGTGTGTGTGTGTGTGTGTGTGTCCTCTCTCAGGGCCAAGCCTATCCATTCGCAATCCATGCACATTATTATTTTTCGCATCTATGTACGTCGGAGGAAGCTCTTCAGTTAGTCAGTATAGATCTATTAGTCGAGAAGAAAACGATTTGATCGCTGGGACAACATCTTTATTCGCCTGATGCTTCGAGATCCGTCGCGGTTTCATCATCAGAGACATAAACAGGAAGCAGTAGCAGATACATATGCCCAGGAATTTGCAGTATTTATAGGATACAGTCATTACTGCAAACATACTACGACAGTTAACGGTAATTGCCTTCTTGCGTGTTGATAGTTTCTTGACCGGCATGCGGACTCTGACTTGCTGAACTTTCATCACGCAAGAACTGATCCCGTAACCAATCACTGGCACTGACTGACAGATACATAGGCACCGGAAGCGCTAGACCTGCATTCACGAATGCCGATGTTGTTATTAGCAAACCCTCTGTCATCCTACATTCGTGTCCCGTGTCGCGGTTGATGGATCATCCACATTTTAATGGGAGTTATTTGCTCATCCAAGAAGGCGCCAACTACCGCACAACGGGCCCATGTCAGTAAGTAATCGAGAGGTTTAACTGATCTGCAGTCTGATGTAGTTGGCTAATAACAATGCATAGGTCAGGGGTGGTCAAGTTGGTCTCAGACGTCCCCCTCCTTCTAATGTGATGGCTCTATTAACTGTTGGTTTTCTGACACCGCGCTTTGTAAATCATTGTTGCCTGCCGCCTGCGGATAACAGTAAACTTAATGTCGTGCATTTGGACAGAACCAGATGTACTCATGCGTCTTAGCCTTTCTGGTTCACAGTCCAGCGTAAACACTTTTAACTTCTTTCTCTCTAGGGTCTGATTGCTGATCGAGACACCCTTCAGTCTGAAGTGGACTTCCTCATACAAACCATTAGGAACTGGTTGCTGACCAGAGACGATGGTGATTTCGAGGCCCCACGACGATCGCCAGAGGTCGTGGAGTTAACGGTTGACAATCAGAATGTATACAAGCAGTCAACGGATGGTCCTGAGGCCAGTTATTACCGTAAGCCGCCAAGATCAAAGGACGGAAGACCTACTGCGGATGTAAGATCCCCTTCGGATAGGCTGATCGTCGCATTTTTGTGTTTGATTTTTTTCCTCTTGTTCGTTAACTCTCCTGCTTATCTATCCACCTGTGTGTGTTCGACCATCAATTTCGATCAAGTCCACCAAGTGCACCAACAGGTTGGTACAG